AATATACATTTCCCCCCCAACCCCCACCTCACAAGTGATGGGGACTTCAGTTTTTTTATGTATTGATCTGACTTTAGAAGAAAGGTTTCAGGAATGAAGCTCAACCAACCTTGTAAATAAGCCTCCTTTACTTAGCAGCCCAGAGCACTCACTAGGCACGAGGCTCCTCCACCAGCCCCACCCCCAACCCTCATCCCTCATCAAAGGGTAGATACATTGGGTTCAATAAAGCCATTCCTAGGGAACTGCTGCTGTTTCAAAGCAGGTCTGCTCACACTCAATGAGTGCCATTAAGGTAGGTCTGTGGTGAGCAGGCCGTAGATAAATATGGCCTTCCTGACTTTCTTTTCACATGGTACTGTTTCAGCCAGCCTCTTACAGACCGTTTACATAACCCTCTACCTCCCATCTCCAAGCTCTTCCTCTGGCTATCCCTCATGCCTGGAATGCTCTCCCTCCTTATATCTACCTCTCAGAATCCTTCTTTTCTTTCAAGATGAAATTCAGGCACCATCTTCTGCATGAAACTTTTCCCAATTCCTCCAACTAATAGTGGCCTCCCTCTCAAACTACCTTGTATTTAAGTGTATTCATTCATTCATTCACTCGTTCGTTTATTTATTTATTAACTTTATGCTTATGCTAAAAACATTTTAATGTTGTTTCCCCCCAATAAGATCATTGTGAGTAGGGGATATTTTATCCTTGGAACTTGTATTCCCCTTATCTAGTAAGTACCTGACACATTTTGTTGTTGTTCAGTCATTTCAGCTGTGTCCAACTTTTCATGACCCTATTTGGGTTTTTTTTTTGGCAAAGATACTGGAGTGGTTTGCCATTTCCTTCTCCACATCATTTTACAGATGAAGAACTGAGGAAAACAGAGTTAAGTGACTTGCCCAGGGTCACACAGCTAGTAAGTATCTGAAGTCGGATTTGAACTCATGAAGATGAGTTTTCCTGACTCTAGACATGGCACTCTATCCACTCTGCCACCTAGCTGCTCTGGCCTGACACATAGCAGGTTAATAAACACTTCTTGATTTATTGCTTGATTGGTTCCTCCCCCCAAATACTCACAACAAATATGAGTTATGTCTGAGAAAAGTCTGCTCCCTGCAGGCAGGGACTATATACCAGCAGTGTTCTATTCTACACATAGTATATGGTGAGTGCTCAATGAAAACTGGCCAAGAGCATTTGGCACTACTTGACCACAGCAAAGTGGAATTCCTTACACATAACACTCTATCTCCCATCTCCAGGCAATGACTGTGAGAGAGGAGAAGGGGGATGGTTTAATGACCAATAACCAAGCTGCCTCTCATTCATTGTCTCCCAGTAGGGAGTATGTTTCAGGTCTTAGAGGTCAGACCAAAGAGCACAGAGTGGTTGCTAATTCTAGTCTCACATTTTTGCCTTTATCTGTCACTTATCTGTCAGTAGGAGAGGTGTTGTTCCCTTTCCTAGTGGTAGGAAAGACTGGGTACAGGAAAGGGAGTGAGAGGGCTAGGTGAGTAACCTTTAACCATGGCAATATATAAAGTAGGTGAGAGGGAAACTCTGGCTTTTTCTCCACGTTCTATGGGCAGACAGAGTCTCTTCACTATCATACTTCCTGGGGGTCTTTGGTGATCAAATTGAACCATTGGTCACCCCCAAAATTACCTCAACTACTACTTCCTGACTCAGGGGTTCTCAGGGGTAGTGAATTGGGAAGAATGTCCAGACAATTCCTTCTCTTCATTGACATCATCCCACTAAGGACAGACTGGGCCCTCTGGATACATATCTATGCTACGGTCAACATAATTGGATCTGATTAGTTTTTCACTTGTCTGAAGGCAGACAGCTGGACCCAAGGACCTCCCAACATCCTTTTCCAACTTAATGAGGTATTAATTTGCAGCAGAAGCATGAGGCAGTGGGTAGATCACTGTGATTTTTGAGTCAATAAGAACTGAGTTCAAATCCTGTCTCTCATACTCAGCTATACACTATATTTTCCTCTTTCTTAGCATAAATAATTTTATCTTATACTAAGCCTTCTTTTCAATGTTAAACAGGCATCCATGTGTAATCCCTGTATTTTTTTGCCTTCCTTTACCCCAGTTTGTATGCAGAGATGAACAAAACACAGAGTACACCCTGTCTTGGACCTCTGAGGACAACAGCAGATTAGCAAATTAGAAAGTCTCTTTTCCTTCCCTTGAACCACTGTCCCCAACTGTCCCCAAGGTCAGTGGCTGACCAGTTGTGAATGCAGCATGATTATATGCCTTTCTGTATCCCATAAGTACCTGTGGAAAATGGTTCATATTTAGAAGCTCACTTGCCTCATAGAAACATACTTCTCCACATACCAACTATTGCTTTTCTCTGCCTTGATTTGTAACAATACATGGAATAAAGCTTTTTATTTGATTGTATTCTAAATTACAAGTATTGGATTTCTTTTCCATGACAATACTTCATGCCTGTGTGACCCTGGACTAGTCACTTAACCTCTCTCAGCCTCAATTTCCTTCTCTGCAAAATGGGAATCTTAATACCATTTATCTCACAGATGTGAGGATCAAATGAAAAGAGGTATATAAAATACATTGTAAACCTTATAGCTCTATTTAAATGTGAACTTACATAACACACCAGGATTCTGAAGCTGTTATTCTACAATTACATGATTTTATAATTTTGTGACCTATCTGGACTGTACAAGATGGAGAGATGAGCTCAAACTCCAGTCTTTTCCCAGTGGTGCTCTCCTTGGTCCTGGAATATGCCATGTGAAAAGAGGATGGGGACTCCCCACAGAAAAGCAATGTCTTGGTGTCACTAGGCAGCCAGACTGACCATCCATCTGTCAATGTCCCTCTCTGTTCCCCACACTCTCCATCTGTCTTTCCCTATGCCCATTGGTCTGGGCAGGACCAGGGAGGGAGGAAGAAAAATGGTGCTTGATCAGAGGCTTCTGCCGAGGGTGATCGATCAGCACACCATAAAGCCAGTTTTGGATTGAGGGAGGGAGGCAGTGGCGGAGGTGAAGTGAGGTGAGGGAGTAGGAAATATAAATCACAGGGGAATGAATGCCATTTATCACCACCTCCAAGGACAGATGACACCTACGGCAGTGAGCTATGGAATAGACCTCTTTAGGGAGCAGAACAAATGAGTTAATGGAGCCCAACCAGCCATTCCTTCTGTCATGGGTCACTCGGGCCATTCCTATTAGGAGGCTCTCATTTCCTAGAGGGACTCATTGCTTCCAGTTCCTCTTCAAACATGCCTGCCACACTAATCTTCCTACAGTGCCTTTCTCATCATGCTCCTCCTTGACTCAAGAACCCTAGCAGCTCCCTGTGGCCTGATATGTCTAATCCAAATTCCTCATATATCAGCTGACCTCCTGATGATTCTCTAGGCCCATTTCTTCCTCTTGCCCACACTGAAGCCACTCATCCAACCTTGGACCCTCTGCTTGTTCATTCTCTGTACACAACTTGTAGGTCCTGCTTCCAATTTTTTGCCTAGGTCATTCCCTCTTCCCTTGCCTAGTGAAATGAGTTACCATTAAATAAGTTTCTCTGAGTCCAGTTTCCTCATCTGTAAAAAAAAGAATAGGAATGATACTCATACTATTGATCTCACAAGGTTGTTATAAGGATTGAATGTAAAGTACATGTGGAAGTCATCCTAAATCACTTCCTAGTCTAAGAAACCCCTCATTCTACCTCCACACAGCACTCATTTCTTTGATTAGCAGGAAAAGATTTTGTACTTATTGACATGCTACTTGAAACCAATCAATGTAGAAATAAAAAGCCCATTACAGAGATTACCTTCATGGTGTTTATCTTCATTATATCTAAGCTATTTCAGGTACATACTTTCTGTTTTTCCCTCCCCACATTGTCCTCCCATCCTGCCCCCATCAGACTGTGGTCGGATTCTGTGTCTTCTTTCTTCTGTCATTCTGCCATTACAATGGGTACAGTGCTCCACCCACTGTAGGTACTCAACAAAAATGTATTAAATAATTATCTAAAGCCCAAGCAAATGGCTCAAGAGGAGTGCAAGGCAGACCAATCTTCTGTCACTAGTCCTTCTCTCCTCCACTGCTCCCACCCTCCTTCTGCCTCTAGGTGGCACATCTCTCTATTTCTCCCGTCTGATACATAAGCCAGATGCCCACTGCTGGGCACCCTTCTTTGGGATTGGGCAATCAGAATTAAGCTCTGCTGGTACAATTCAGAAAGGTAGCTCTGATCATGGATTTTCATGGAATAGAAAAGAGAAGCATTTGTTTGGCACGTTGTGCCAAGTAGGGTGACAGATGAGGGACATACAAATAGAAACACATTCTAATTAGGGAAGACAACACAATACAGTTCAGTTTCATGGTGGATAGAAGGACCAAGTGGAAGTGAGGGTCCAGCAGGAGAAGCGTGGAAGATGGTAAGACTCCATGGACTTTGGTTAGCAATGGCAGGGCAGATTGTCCCTGACCAATGACTATTGGAAAGGAAGTAATGGGCCCAAGGGTCAAAGTAGAGTGGGGCTTTTGGTTACCTTTGACAAAGATGGTGGGGAGAGAGGTCAGCATCCAGGCTGGGGTGGAAGTGAGGAAAAGAAAGGGTTCTCCAAAGCCTATTGCTGCTAGTTGGTAGGATGGAATAATGCCTCATCATGGGCAAAAAGAAGAGATGGACTTAGAGAATTATCAGGGTTTTAGTAGATGGCTTATACATTTGAATTAGATATATTAGACAAGGAGGAATAATACTGGAGTTCTTGAGCCAGGGAAGGATATGATGAAAATGGCATTGAAGGAAGATTTTTCTGGCAGATGTGTATGAAAAAGAATTGGAAGCAGGGAATCTCCCTGAGAAATGGAGGTCTAATTGGGATGAGTTTTGTGCTATTACTTCTCCAACTCTGGTGCATGTTGTTTAGGGAGCAGTTAGGGAAAAGGGAGGAGGAGGATGCCTTGAGGTACTCACCAGAAGTGTTGTTGACTAAGGACAGGCTCTCACAGTACTGATCCTGGAGTGAGGCTAAGACTGGTGCAAGCCACAGAAGAAGGGCCTATAGGGGTCATGAGAAGAGAGAAACATGGTTAGGATACTCCAATTGTTCCCAGAAATCCCACTCTGGACGAGGCAGCCAAAACTAGAACTTCATTGAAGTTAGAGCTAGAAGGAACCTCAGATGTTATCTATTCCAACACCTTCGTTTTATAGGTGAGGAAACACATTTAGGAGAAGTGACTTACCCAGGGTCACACAGACATTAAGTAGCAAAAGTGGAATTTGAACCTATGTCCTCTTGACTCAGGGCTCCCTCCATTATACCACATTGCCTCCAAATGTTTAAGTTCTATGTGCCCAAGTCAAAATGGCAGACTTTACAAGTGCAAAACAGTCAACTATCCTCCCTCCACTGGAAAAGGCCTCCCCAAAAGTCTAGCAGCTACTGGAGCATGAAATTCCTATCCACAGTAAGGAAAGTAAATATCTTGCAATGGGCAGAAAGCACAGCCCTAGATTTCCATTTCTTACAGTTCCTACAGCATCTTAATGGACACATCTGGTTCTTCAAAAAACTGCCAAATAAGGGACAACTTAAGACTTAGGTTGGGATAGAGCTTTTGTTGCTGTTCAGCCACGTCCAACTCTTCATGACACCTTTTGGGTTTGTTTGTCTGTTTGTTTGTTTTTGGCTAAGATACTGAAGGGGTTTGCCATTTCCTTCTCTGGCTCATTTTACTGATGAAGAAACTGAGGCAAACAGGGTAAGTGACTTGCCCAGCATCACATAGCTAGTAAGTGCCCAAAGCTGGATTTGAACTCAGAAATATGAGTCTTCTGGACTCTAGGTCCACACAGACTATCCACTGTGCCACACCTAGCTGCCCTGTGATAGAGCAGAGAGAGTCAAACTTCTGTGAAGGAAAGCTGAGAGATCTTGTGGAGCGTATAGTGAAAAGAATACCCTATTTCTAGTTAGAGGAACTAAGTTTAAATCCTGAGTACAATAATAATAATAGGTAGCATTTGTATAGCACTATAAGTTTTGCAAAACACTTTGCAAATATTATGTTATTTGATCTTCACAAAACCCCTAGAAGGTAGGTGCTATTATTATCCCCATTTTACAGTTGAGGAAACTGAGGCAGAGAGCAGTTAAGTGACTTGTATGAGGCCTAATAGCTAATAAATGTCTGAGGCACATCTGAACTCCAGCCTTCCTGATTCCAAGTCTGGAACTCTGTCCTTCTACCTGTCAGGGTTATTGTGAGGTTCAAATGAGATAATGTTTATAAAGTGCTTGGCTCAGTGTCTAACACAAAGTAGGTGCTTAATAAATGTTTGTTCCCTTTCCTCTCTGTCCACTGTAACCTTCCATTTTTCTTCGCCTTTTTCTCTTTTCTCCCTTTAGTATCATTTGTTCTTACATCAAAGCCCTGCTTCTGTTCCGGTAGAAATCCAGAGGTGTGGGCCTGCCGAAGGGAGTGCTATCACCAAACTGGAGGAACCATAGCACAGAGATTTTTCTTGTGGGAGTAGGAGGTAGTGTGGAACTGTGGAAAGAGCCCTGGACTTAGAGGCAGAAAGCCTTAACTCAAATCCAGGTGCTGACACTTATTACCTGTGTGACCTTGGCCAAGTAATTTCATCTCTGAGCCTCAGTTTCCTCATCTGTAAAATGGAGCTCATATCTGCACTGCCTCCTTCACAGCGCAGGAAGGTGCTTTGTAGCTTGTAGACCATGTCTATAAAGGGGAGTATTCCTAGGGGGGACAACTAGGAATATTTGCTCTTCATCTCTCTTCCAAGATTTAGCACTAAACCATGATGCTAAAATAGCTGTTAAATCCCACTTTCCAGAAGAATTATGTTTATTGAATTGAATTTCAGACGTGGTCCCATATGAGAGTCAAAAGCCCAAACTAAATTCTTCTGGCTCTGCTATTAATTAGCTGTGTGAAATTGGGCAAAGTATATCATCTCTCTGGGCCTTAGCTTCCTTCTTCTAAAATGAGACCATATGGCCGTGGGAGCCCTTTCCAGCTCTAACTTTCTATGGCTTCTCCTCATTTGTACCTGGGCCCAGTGGGGCTGGGCCATTTGCTTTCCTTGTTCACCACTAAGAATCCCCTCTCAGCTCTGGACCCACAAATGTGCAGACTGTGTTCACACTTAGAGATCGGCAGGATCTCAAAGGCCACCTAGTCCAACTGCTTTACTTTACAAATGAGGAAACTGAGGCCCAGGAAAGTCCAATGACTTATCCAAGGTCATATTGGTAATCAGTAGCAGAGGCTGGGTTTGAACCCAGATTGTCTGCCATCAGAGCCAGTAATGATCTTTCTACAGTACCACATTGTTTTCATCTCTCTGGATATAACCACGTCTCCTCTCATTATATTCACATTCCTTTCTCCCCACTCATTTTCAGAGGGAGGGATTTAGACAGTTTTCCCTTCTGTTTTCATGTCTGAAATTCTGTCACTTTTTAGCAGTGGTTTTCCCCTCCCCACCTATATTATTTCCCAGAACAGATCCATGGGGAAACAAAGACTCTTCTTAAAGAGTCAGTTCCCCTAGGATTCCCTCCTTGCAGAGCAGAGCAGCCTCACCCCACCAGGCAGGCAGAACTGAGTTCCTTCTGCTAATATTAGAGACTCATTACAGCTCAGCCCTGCCCCTTCTCAGCTGCAGTGGTGCTGCTCAAAGTCTCCCTTTAATTAGGCACTTCCCAGTGTGTTCACACATGCCCACCCAGCTCATTGGTGATAAATGTGTTGGGATCTGGGCCTGTGTTGCCTGCCTGCCTGTTCTTGGATTCCAGGAAATAATTGTGACCTCTTGCTGCTAGGGATCCCCTCACTGCCCAGGCTGCTGCTGAGCCCCCAGGGTAAATGAAGGTCATGAAGAATCCCCAGCTTGTTGCACCATGATAGGGAGAGATGTGGGCAACAAGGATGCTGAGATAGGTATGTGGGTAAGGTCAGAGGGCATTAAGAATTCTAGGCCAAATACCAGAATGGAATACCCAGCCATCCTTAATTTAATTCAACAAGCATTTATTAAGTGTCTACTGTGTGCCAGGCATTATACTAGGTGATGGAGATATAAACAAAAATGATATGGTCTTTGCTTTCAAGAAGTTCCTATTTTAACTAAGACAAATAACATATGTATGTATATTTGTGTATACGTGTGTATACAGATGGGAAGGTAGAACAGCAACCACCCTGCCTTCTGTAGAACTCACCCCCGTTGAGTGATGAACCTGTGCATTAGCCACTTCCAGGGAAACAGGTGGCTCAGTACTGAAAGGATTTGGCATTTTGGTAGGATGCAGCCCCCACCCCTCATCAGATGTGAACACAGTTTGCACACATATGGATCCAGAGCTGAGAGGGACTCCTTAGTGGGGAACAAGGAAGGCAAATCACCTGGAAGGCAAATGGACCCAGGTAAAAATCTTATTGTAACATAGGTGTGTATATAGGTAGCTAGGTGGATAGTGTGCTGAGTCTGGAGAAAGAAGACCTGAGTTCAAATCCAGTCTCAGATATATCCTAGCTGTATGATCCTGAGTTACTCATTTAAACTTTGCAGCCTCAGTTTCCTCAACTATAATATGGGGGAAAGAGCAGCAGCTACTTTGTGGAGTTGTAAGGATCAAATGAGATAATTGTAGAGTGCTTAGCAGTGACTGGTGCATAGTAGATGCTATATGAATGCCTTCTTAGATATACAAACTGTATACAAAGTAGTTTGTTGTGGGGATCACTAGCAGCTGGGAGAGATTAGGAATGACTTCATACATTGGTGCTTAAACTGAGTCTAGGGATGCTAAGAAGTGGAAGGGAAGGAAGAGTGCATTCCAGGCAGGAGGAACAGCCCATTCAAAGCATAGAAAGGAGGAGATGGAGCATTTGTGCCAGAAAAGCTAAGAAGACCAATTTGGTTGGATTGTAAAGTGCGTGAAAGGAAGAAGTGTGTAATAAGCCTGCTAGGCTGAAGACAAGATATGAAAAACTTTGAATGTCAAACAGAGGAGTTTTTATTTTATCCTGGAGCCAAGGGGATACCACTGAAGCTTTCTGTACAAGGGAGCTATATGATCTGACCTGCACTTTGGGAATATCACTTTGGCAGCTGAGTGGAGGATGAAGCAGAGAGATGAGTTAAGAGGCTGCTAAAATCATCCAGGTGAGAGGTGATGAGACCATGCACTTAGGGTGGTGACCCTGTCAGTGGGAAGATGGGAATGGATGTGAGAGATGCTGTGAAGGAAGTAATAGCAAGAGCTGGTAGTTGATTGGATATGGGAGTTGAGGGAGAATTGAAATCAGGGATGATTCTGAGGTTGCAAACCTGGGTGACTGGAAAGATTTTGGCGCTCTCAACAGAAATAGGGAAGTTGGGAAGACAGAGAGTCACTGGGAGAAAGATAGTAAGTTCTGCTTTAAATATGTTAAGTTTGAAATGCCTTTGGAATATCCAGTTTGAAATGTCCAACAAGTAGTTGGGGATAGGAGATTTTAAGAGCGTTTAAGAGAGAGACTAAGATAGATCTGGGAGTTATATGCACAGAGATGGTAACTGTACACGTGAAAGCTAATGAGATCATCAGAGGGTATGTAAAGAGAGAAAAGAAAAAGGCCGAAGCAGAGCCTTGGGGTACACAAGCAGTTGGGGGCAGGGTAAGGATGATGAACTAGTAAAGGAGACTGAGAAGAAAGTCCCTACTAGGTACAATGCATTTTGGGGAGCATATACATTGAGTACTCTTTTCCTCCCTAAATTTTGCAAATTTTCACTCCTCTCTCAAAAAAAAGTAATGAAAATAGTTGAATGGTTTCTTGTCATTGGCTTAATTGACTGGTCAGAGTGTTCTGACTGAACATCGTCGTTTCAAATTCTGTTACTGAAACAGGTTCTGAAGAAATCTCCTTCCGAGGCAACGTTTACACACTAGACCTAGGCAACCTCAGTTAGGTAGCTAACAATCTATAATATGCATATTTAAGTCAATGACCAGGGGAAAAGGTCAGGAGTGGCTTCTTTTAA